ACGAAGGGAAATCGGAATTTTACAAGAAGCTGCAGGGGACAATGCTGGAATATCTGGATTACAACAACATCATAATGATGGGAGACATGAACGGGGTCGTGTCAACTAACATGGACAAGTCACAAAGTCAAAATGTTACAAAAGACGGCAGACTACCTAAAACTTTTGAAATGACTGACAATATGGATTTGATTGACATTTGGAGGACAAAGAACCCACTAGGTAGAGAAGGAACATTCTTTTCTGAAGCCCAACTGACCTGGACAAGAATCGACCAAATATGGATTTCCAGAGGCCTGGCACCTAAGGTCAGAAAAGTGGAAATCTGCCCAAAGACCTGCTCTGACCATAATGCAGTAAAGATGGATATGACACTACTACCAACTGGATCCTTTAGATGGAAGATGAATGACAATTTGTTTAGAGATCAGGAAATTACCAAGAAGGCCCAAAAAGTTTTGAAGGACTATTTTGAGATAAACATGAACAATTCGGTGGAAAAAGAATTGTCTGGGACGCAAGCAAAGCTGTAATGAGGGGATTCTTGATACAACAGAATGTAGTAAAGAAAAGAACACAAAATGAGAAAAAAGATAAGATCTTGGACAAATTAAAAGAATTAGAGAAGAAATTAAGAGCGAATCCAAAGTCACAGCCAACTCTGAGAGAAATTAAACTCTATCAAACACAATATTCTAAATTGATAAATCAGGAAATTGAATGGAAGGTTAAATTAATGAAACAAAAACGTTTGAGTCGGCGAATAAATGTGGAAAACTGCTAGCTTGGCAGTTGAAGAGAAGACAAAGATTAAACACGGTTACAAACTTAGAGGTTGATGGAAAAAACATTCAGAATCCAGTGGATATTAGAAAGTGTTTCCAGAGATATTTTAAAAATTATACACCCAAGGGCCGCAAGACGAAGTTGAGATTAAACAATTTTTGCCAAAAATGGACTATCTAAATTGTCACAAGAAAACAGGACAATCCTGAACTCTAAAATAACACGACAGGAGATTGAACAAGCTATTCAGAACATGCAACTTGGCAAATCTCCAGGGCCAGATGGGCTGACCTCCAAGTATTACAAGACATTAAAAGACTATTTGATACAACCTTTGATGGAGGTCAGCAATGAAATTATTGAGGGGAAGAGGGCACCGGATTCGTGGAAGGAAGCGTTCATCACATTAATACCAAAGTCAGAAGCTGAAAAGACACAATTGAAGAACTACCGTCCCATCTCTCTTTTAAATGTGGATTACAAAATATTTGCAGACATTTTGGCAAGTAGATTTAAAAAGTATTAAATGAAGTAATTCATAAGGACCAGGCCGGTTTTCTCCCAGGTAGACATCTGTTTGCTAACACAAGGAACATTATTGACATCTTGGAACTTCTGCAAACAGATATAAATACAAAAGCAGTTTTAATTTTCATAGATGCGGAGAAGGCCTTTGACAATATTTCTTGGAAATTTATGATGGGAAATTTAAAAGAGATGGGAGTGGGACGGGGTTTTGAGAATGGGATTGAGGCGATATATTCAGAACAGAAAGCTAAACTGATAGTTAATAATGTGGTTACAGAAGAGTTTAAAATTGAAAAAGGGACACGACAAGGTTGCCCTATTTCCCCTTTGTTATTTATTTCGGTTCTGGAAGTGCTACTGAACATGATTAGAGGGGATCGGTTGGTGGAAGGAATTCAGGTTGGTCAGAAACAATATAAACTAAAAGCTTTTGCAGATGACCTGGTTTTGACCTTGCAGAAGCCAGAGCCCAGTACGAAAAGAGTATTACAATTGATTAATGATTTTGGTCGGGTGGCGGGATTTAAATTAAATAAACAGAAAACTAAGGTTTTGGGGAAAAATTTGACTGATACAGAGTCAGAACGGTTTCAGAATGAGACGGAACTTAATGTGGTTAACAAAGGAAACTACCTAGGGGTAAACATAACAGCAAAAAATCTAAGTCTATTTAAGGATAACTATGAAAAATGTTGGACAGAAATTAAGAGAGACTTAGACAGTTGGTCAAAATTGAAACTTTCTTTGTTAGGCCGAATTGCTGCTATTAAGATGAATGTATTGCCAAGGATGTTGTTTTTATTTCAAACACTTCAGGTTTTGGACAAAACGGAGTGCTTTCAGAAGTGGCAGAGAGATATTTCGAAGTTTGTCTGGCAGGGCAAAAGCCCAGAATCAAGTTTAAGATATTAACTGATGTAAAACAAAGAGGGGCTTTGCCCTGCCGGACTTAAAGTTGTATTATGAAGCCGCAGCGTTCTGCTGGCTAAAAGACTGGCTACTTCTTGAAGACACTGATGTGTTGGACTTGGAAGGGTTTAATAATGTTTTTGGATGGCATGCATATTTATGGTATGACAAAGTTAAAGCAAATAAGGCCTTCAAGAACCATATTGTCAGAAAATCATTGTATAATGTCTGGACAAAATATAAAGACTTGCTGGAAAATAAAACACCAAGGTGGCTTTCACCTTTGGAAGCTAAGGCCCGAAAAAGACCCAATATGGAGGCTAAATGGCCAAAATATTGGGAAATACTAGAAAAGATGGAGACAATTGGAAATTGCAGAGTTTGGAGAAAATGAAAGACAAAGTGCGAGATTGGTTACATTACGCTCAGATTAAAGAAGTTTTTAAAAATGATAAGAAACTAGGGTTCCAGGTGGAGAAATCGAAATTAGAAACAGAATTGTTAGAACCAAAGACTAAGGTACTTTCAAGGATGTATAACTTGCTGTTGGAATGGAATACACAAGATGAAATGGTTAAATCGGCTATGATAAGGTGGGCACAGGACATTGGGTATAATATTATGTTTGAGGACTGGGAAAAGTTGTGGAGTAATGGATTGAAATTTACTGCATGTAACGCTCTGAAAGAAAATGTAATGAAAATGATTTATAGATGGTATATGACCCCAGTTAAACTTGCAAAAATTTACCACCTGTCTGATAATAAGTGTTGGAAATGTAAAGAGTGTGAGGGAACGTTCTTCCACCTCTGGTGGACCTGCCCTAAAGTGAAGGCGTTCTGGGAAATGATTTATAATGAATTGAAAAAGGTATTTAAATATACCTTTACCAAGAAACCAGAGGCTTTCCTTCTGGGTATTGTCAGCCAAGGGGTGGCAAAGAAGGACCAGACATTTTTTATGTATGCAACAACAGCAGCAAGGATACTTCTTGCAAAACATTGGAAAACTCAAGATTTACCCACACTGGAAGAATGGCAGATGCAACTGATAGACTACATGGAACTGGCTGAAATGACTGGCAGAATCCGTGACCTGGGAGAAGAGAGAATCGAGGAGGATTGGAAGAAATTTAAGAACTATCTACAAAAATATTGTGATTTGAGTGAATGCTAAATAAGATGCTAGACTAAATAACTGAGCACCACTTAACTTAGAAGTTTTTAAGAAAACAAGTAAGACTGTGAAAGTTTAACTCTTTATGAGAACCATAAGATTATGAAACATTGAAGAGATATAAGAATTTAAATAAGATGATAAATTGCTGACAAAATGTTATAACGATGAAAGTGGGAGCGGGGGATGTGAGGAAGTCCAAAGAAAATGTGAAACTATGTTAAGACAAATGTTATATTGTTTATTATGTTTATTTTTATTGTAAAACCCAATAAATT